GCAGAGAAAGCAGAGAATAGCAGAAGAATGTCTATCTGTGCTTCATTGACTATGCAAAGGCTTTTGACTGTGTGGATCACAACAAGCGGAGAAGAATGGGAATCCCAGAATATTTGACTGTGCTAATGCGAAACCTATACTTGCACCAAGAGGCATTTCTCTGGTACTCTTTGCTTTCTGTCAAGATCCATCTGAGATTGGCAATAATGTCTCTAGTGTTACAACCTCTTCTAAACTGTATTTCTGGTAGTTTTCTGTCAATGTATTGTTCCAGTTGTTTCTGGACAATCTTCAGCAGGTTTTTGATAGTGTGTAATATTAGTGAAATTGTTTGATAATTTCAATACTCTGTTGGGCTAGCTTTTTTTAAAATGGGAATAAATATGGATCTCTTCCGGTCAGTTGACCAAGTAGGTGTCCTTCAGATTTTTGGCGCAAGTTGGTGAGCACATGAGCACATCTGTTTGTTGAAAGACGTCAAGTGATATTTTATGAATTCCTAGGGTTTGCCTTCCTTCCTTTTTCTTTCTTTCTTTCTCTGTCTCTCTGTTTCTGTCTCTTCTCTCTCTCTCTCTCTCTCTCTCAGCCTAAACTTCCTCCTTCATCACCATTGCCTCTTGATCATACATTGTTTCTTGAAATTCTTCTGTGTCAGCTACTTCTTTTTGTAAAGTGGCTCTGTATATTCCTTCCATCTTCTTTTAATGCTTCCTGAATTATTCAGTATTCTGTCCATAGCATCCTTAAGCATCGCAACTCGTAGTTGGAATTTGTTCTCTAATTATTTTAGCTTAAGAAATGATGAGCAAGTTTGGCTCCTTTGACTTTCCGACTTGAACTCCTTGCACATTTCATATTTTGCTTTGTTTTCCCAAGCTACCCTTTGAAAACTTCTGTTAAGCTCTTTCTTGATTTCTTTGGTTTCTTGGCGTTCTAGTGTTCAATTAATATTTGGGAACTTTAATGCCTGGCTTATGTTGTTGTTGTTGTTATGAGTCATAGAATCACCCTATGAACAACAGTTGTGAACCTTGCCCTATCCCACATTACATTCGTGATTTCTGTCATGCTCAAACTCGTTGTGATAGTAACTTTGTACATAAAAAGTGCTTTTTAAGTATTAGTCACTATTAGTGAGGCTACTTTCAAATTATTGTCCCTGATGTTATCTTAGAAATTCCTCCTTGTGGAGGAAAGTTTTGCTATACAAAACTGATTATATAAAGGTTGAATCAATCCATGCTTTTGAGTACTAAGTGTAGCTGACTCAGTCAAGAATCTTCTCACAGGAATAAAATGACACAATCCAAATTGTTCACTGAAGAAAAATATTAAAATTAGTAAAATTTTAAAGCTAGTAGAATGCTTAAAACTATTATGTATGTTGCACATTTGCTTGGTCAGGAATCTTGTTGTCATGTGCCACCCAGTCGATTCTGACTCATCAAAAATAATAAAGAATTTACTTTAATATTCGAAGCTTTAAAAGCTATTATAAAGTGAAAAATGGAGTAGAAAAGCTAAGTTATAAATATAATCATTGCATTAAGAATTTATACATTAATTTTATAACAGATCTGTTAATTAGGAAAAGGAAAGTTTAAAAAATTAATGAAAAACATCATTCCCCTTTGGACAAATTTCTAAACAAACTATTTCCAAATAGAAAACAAACTGTTTCCAAATAGAAATTTGTTTACAGGAACATTGAGCAACTGTGAGTGGGTGGGGAATGAAGTGCCTTTGATATCTTAGTATACACTCGGGGAAGTAAACCTAGAATCATTGAAACAGCTGCAATGAAAACTGAAACTCAAATGAAACATGACAATACTTGTAATGAGTAAGAGAAGTAGTACTTCTAGCTGTGATTATTTATCATAATTTGATCAGTAATCCTGTGTAAAGGAGTTCTATTGGCTTAGTGGTAAGGAATTGCACTGCCAACCCAAAGCCATGAAATTCACGTACACCAGCACCTTCCAAAGACAAAGATGGACAATTCCCTCCTGTGTGTCTTAGAGCCTCTGTAAACTTGGTGAAGAGTCAACTATGAGTCAGGTCCAACTTGATGATACATACAACAACAACCACCATCCTGCATATTTTCTATCTTTGTAAACACTTGATATCCTAGAGAACTAGTTGGAAAAGTCAAGTGGTTACAGGATTTCTCTGTCCTTTACATATGTCCCTGCACAAATGCTTAGTGTCAGAAGGAATAATAAAAGGAATTCTTTTGGTCAACAATACCATTACTTTTCTTTATTATAAATATTCAGGGCTTAACATTGTCTTATTAATTCATAGACCAGGTATTGGATGTGTCGATTGGGCTATGTTACTCTTTTCCCACTCTTTCCCCTTTTTATTTGAGATGGAAGAAGAATATATCTTATATGTAGATTATTTACAAATGAACTGCTTCTCATAAAAACTCATTGCCATCTAGTTGTAACTGGCTCATAGCTGACCCTTCATTGTTTTTTGAAGGTTGTAATTCACGAGGGAGAAAATCGCTCAACTTTCTTTCTTGGAGTTGCTAGTGCATTCAAAACAAACTACAAAGACATGTGGTCTTTGGGTTATCATCACAACTCTGCTTATATTATACCATAGAGCTCCCTTTAGCTGCTTCAGTCATCAAACAACTTCCAGCTCAACTTGAACTTCTTGAAATTGAATCATCAGTGGAAGCTTTGCCTAGGAGAGCAGTATTTTCCAGGACTGCACTTAGTGCTCTTCTAAACTCCAGTTATACCAACACTTTGTTTCTCTCTCTACTCTGCCACACTCAACATTTTGCTTTCCTCCAGCATTTGGGAGCCTTTCTATCTCACAATCCTTGTGCTAGTTGCTCCCTTATTTTGTAATATTCCTTTTTAGGTGTCCACATAGCTTAACATACTCAACTTCTTAGGCGTTATTACTTTATCATGTTCTGAATGAAATTTATATGAATAATTTCATATAAACTGATTCCTTTGAGATGTAAGTTGTAAATATTCCAAATACCTAACTTCTCCAAGCTACTGTACCATTTCATTGTCTCTACCATCAACCGTTCTATAAGGTTGAAGATGCCATAAAATGGTGGCTGCAGGTTGTGGTTTAGAAACAACTAAATTCTACTAAATGTGGTGTCCAGAGGAGAAGGAATGGAACCTTGCAAAGCAGATTCCTTTGTAGGTGATCTCAGGGCTAGAAAACACATCTTCAAGAGGGCCAAGGTGGTGACTTTGGTCATATCTTCCAATGAGGTGGGAATTCAAGCTAATCTTGCCTCATTAACACAACAAACAACTCTTTCCAGAAAGGTGTTTGCAAGCATAAATAAGCTAGAGTTTACAGTATTTTGCTCATAGTTGACTATGTTTCCAAGGACCGTATTATTTAATTCATAGCACCATATCTAGCCTACCCTGAATGTTTAAAATTGCACAGTTTAACTCCTCACCTTTTTTATTTATTTATTTATTTAGGTGTGAACAGCTAACTTTATGCTACAAGCAATGGAGACTTCATGGAAGTTTTTAAAAGAACATCTTTTTTTCTCTTCAAACTTTTAAAACATATATACATTATATAAAATGGAAAAGCAGAGAACACAAAAGCCACCCATAATCATCTTGATGATTAGTTTACATCCTTTTACATTTTAGGTATACATAAGACAACCAAGCATACGTTTTTATCTGGTTGAGGCCAATCATTATGCATTCATGCTTTTCACGCATCTCAAGGATTTATAAATTCGAAGTTCCAAAGCCATGCATGTTTTGACAACAATGAAAACACTTTACTGATTCAGTTAGGAAGTATAAGAAAGCAGTCAGCCATTCTTGGGGACAAAAATTTTATTAAGACAAAAATTGGTGCACGCCTCTAGATATTGGCAGATCCCCCTTCTTCATAACATACTTATTATGCTTATTGTTTATTGCCTTTCTTTCCTCCTCTCAAACCCTAGAAATTAAGGAATGAATTTTGTTTTACTTACTGTTTTTTTGTCCTTCAGTACAATGTGCAGTAGTAATAATCAATTAATAATTAATGTTTAAATATTTAAATTAATCTGATTGCTCAGGTTGTGTGTCAACTTGCTGGGCCTTAACTCACTGGGTGGCAGTTATGTGATTAGCATGATGAAATTTGTTTTGAGCAGAAAATTAGTTGAAAGAAAGCCTCCTCGAGGGGTGTGACCTACATCTATTGATCTATCTTTTTTTAAAAAACAAAACAAAATACAACAAAGAACAACCTGGTAAAATTGTATCTGGTTCTCATCATCTGATTTCTAATTTTCAGTACTGAAAATTCTGAATCTAAGGTGGGCAGCTGAAGACAACAGCTTTCACATGCCCGATCTGCCAAAAGCCCTCATTGGGCCAAAGGCAGCTCCTAGGCTTGAGATGCTGGGCCTGGCAGGCCCTAAGTGACCTGACCAAGGGCCAGCCCCATGCTTCATCCACCACCCCTGCCCCTAGAATTCCACAGCCAGTGAACCACCTTAGCCCTGTCCCTTCTCATACAAACCAACAATATCTTTTTTACTTGCCTTTGGGAAAAACGAGGCAACCCACTACATGCTTTGTGTCCCTGACCTCTGAGGGTCCCTGAGTACAAATCATCTTGTACAATCCCATCCCTACCTATAGATTTTCCAGCCTAAATCCTGTCAGCGCACAAATAAAATTTTAATTAATTTAGGGCGTTGGGGAAGGTGAGGCTATGGCTGTGCTTTTCTCCACACGGGCCCCATACTGCCTTCAGGGCATAGGCTCAGACCAGGCTCAGGATTCCCTCACTGTCCGTGGAGAAGGTTGCTCACTCCACTCAACTGCACTGTACTTTTTAAGCTGTGGAGTCTGTACTAAAGGACACATTTGTACACTTTTCTCAAACTGCGTCCTAAACAGGAAGGGGAGGAGGAATATGAAACACCGTTCCCTTTTCTGTCTTGTCTCTGCCCCACTTCATTCCTCCTGCTGTAGATTTCTCTACTTGTCTTGCATCTTTGATAACTTGGGAGTTGCAACCAACTAAAAGCAAAAAAATAAATGAATTTGAAATAGAAAAAAAAGAAAGAAGCCAGTATCTTGCCATACTGCCTGATAATCTTAGAATCTGTCAGATTCTGCAGCCCATGAGTCATCAGCCTAGTGTTTCTCCTGTTGACCTTGAATTTGTCAGCTATGCAATTTTTTAAAGAGAAGCCTCCAGGATCACATCTGACCCATCGACTTGGAACTTACTAGGCTCTACAATTGCATGAGCGACTTCCCTGAGATAAATCAATCTCTTTGCATCTGTCCCCTCATGTATGTTCTCTCTGTATTTCACTGATTTTGCTTCTCTGACAAGATCTAGTCTGAGACATTGAAATAATCATCTATCTATAAAATGTACTTGTTTTTTGTCCATTAAAAATTTCTGGAGCATGGTTTGTTTGTTGTGTTTTTTGGTTTTTTTTTTTGGTCTTAAAATGTGAATTAGAGAGATATAAAGTGCACAATCCTAAAAAAGAAACTATTTTAAGGAGCTATTTAGATAAATAAGAGGTATATAATAATGAGAGATTGATTCCCTTAAAATAAACCTTTCTCTATGCACTTATTTAATGCTATAGGTATATTTTTAATAACATATTCAGTGTTTCTAATACTCCCTTAATGTTTATATAAAGACTTCTCAATACAATATCTTCTTCATAAATTACATCTTTTGTTGTTATGTAAAATTTATTACTTGATTTAAATTTTGAACATTAAATACCATCTTGCAGGCTATTGAAGAAGTTCCTCTTCATTTTGATCATTGTAATTTTTACTTTCATTAATATATTGCTCTGTGTTCTCATAAATTGCATAAAATTGAGAGTTTGCTCTTAACTCAATCTAATGTTGAATTTTAAGGAGATAATTTAATTCCATTCTGTTTAATATCTGATAAAGTATTATTTTCATGAAGGAGTTGAAAAACAAATTCAAGCCATGGGTGGCAATAGTTAAGGATACCTTGGGTAGAATGTTGAATGATCCAGGATGTATCAAAAGAAGATGGAAGGAGTACACAGAGTCACTGTATCAGAAGAAATTGGCTGCACAGAGGAATTTCATGAAATAACATAATGAGCAAGAGCCTATGGTGATGAAGGAAGAAGTTCAAGTTGCTCTGAAGGAATTGTCAAAAAACAAGGCTCCAGGAGTTGACAGCATACCAATTGATTTATTTCAACAAACAGACGCTGCCCTGGATGTGCTTACTAAGTTGTGCCAGGAAAACTGGATGACAGCCAGCTGGACAACTGACTGGAAAAGGTCGATATTTGTTCCCATTCCAAAGAAAGGTGACTCAACAGTGTGGAAATTATTGAACAATATCATTGATATCACATGCAAGCAAGATTCTGCTGAAAATTACCCAAAAACGTTTGGAACAATATGTCAACAGAGAACTGCCAGATGTGCAGGCTGGATTTAGAAGAGGTACTAGGGATATTATAGGCTAATGTTAGATGGATCTTGGCAGAAAGCAGAGAATACCAGAAGAATGTCTATCTGTGCTTCATTGACTATGCAAAGGCTTTTGATTGTGTGGATCACAACAAGCTATGGCTGACTCTGAGAAGAATGGGAATCCCAGAACATTTGATTGTGCTAATGTGAAACCTATATTTGGACCAAGAGGCAGTCATCAGAACAGAGCAAGGAGACACTGGATGGTTCAAAATCAAGAAAGGTGTCCATCAGTATGCAGAACAGATCTCCGAGACTCTGGGCTGTACGAGGAGGAATGTGGCATCAGGATTGGTGGAAGAATCATCAACAACCTGAGTTATGCAGATGACACAACCCTGCTTGCTGAAACTGAGGGGGACCTGAAGTACTTGCTGCAGAAGGTCAAGGATTGCAGTCTTCAATATGGATTGAAGCTCAATATCAAGAAAACAGATTCTCGCCACTGGGCCAGTGGACGGTGAAGAGATTGAGATAGTTAACAGTTGTAGTTTGCTTGGTTCCACAGTCAATACTCTTGGGAACAGCAGCCAGGAAATCAGGAGATGAATTGCATTGGGAAAGTCAGCTGTGAGGGACCTCTCAAGAGTACTGAAGAGCAACGGCGTCAGCCTGGAGGCTAAGGTACATCTGATCCCAGGCTATAGTCTTTGCAATTATGTGCTATGCATCAGAGAGTTGGACAGTGAATAGGGATGATATAAGAATTGATGCCTTTGAGTTGTGGTGCTGGAGAAGAGTGTTAAATATACCATGGACTGCTAGGAGAACAAACGGGTTTTTCATGGAGAGGGTGAAGCCAGAAGGTTCCCTCGAGTCAAGGATTCTGAAGCTTTGTCTGACATACTTTGGGCATGTTGGAAGGAGAGACTGGTCCTTAGAGAGCAACATCATGTTTGGGAAAGTGGAGGGATGGCGTAGCAGAGGAAGACCCTTGATGAGATGGATCGATTCTGTGAGTGGAGTGGTGGGAATGAATGTGTTTGAGACAGCAAGGTTGGCACAGGATAGAACGGCATTTACGGTGCTTGTACACAGGGTCGCTATGAGTCACAAACGACTGGATGGCACATAACAACAACAACAATTATTTTCATTTTGTTGTTGGTAATTACCATCCTGCTAATTCTAATTCATAGCACAAAAGGTTAAAAACTTGACTACTATCCAAAAGGTTGATGTTTCAAACTTATGCAGAGGCACTCAAAAAATACGCTGCTCCCAAAAAGGTCAAAACTTTCTTATGTAGTTCTAACCTACACTCGTGGGTAGCCATGATTTCTGATTTACTGCATGTAAATTATTTTTTTCTTGTTACTGTAGAAGCATTATAGTATAGTACTAAAAGTATAAAACTTCTTTGGTTTAAATTTTAGCTCTACCACTTGCAAAATGAGCTCTTTATATCTCTTGTTTAAATTGTCTATTCTATAAAATGTGTAGTGTTTTACTCTTGCCAAGAGGGAATGAGCATTTTTTTTTTCACTTTACTTGTCTTCTACTGTAAAAATGCAGCATTTTACTTTCATAGTAGTTATTAAAATTGACTTTGCCAGACTGAAAAAGATCAGTGTGATTAGAGTAAGGAAGTGAAAGAAGGTCTATTTGGAGAAGTAGACAGGGTCTGCTTCATGTAATAACATCTGCATCAGAGTAAAGCACACATTTTCCATTTAAAGGGTTGTTGTTGTTGTTGTTATGTGCCATCAAGTTGGCTGTGACTCATAGCAACCCTTTGTACAACAGCCCTAAATCCTGATATATCCCTTGCCAATCTTATTGTCTCCAAGACACTATCCCAGTAACTGAATCAATCCATCTCATTGAGGATCTTCTTTTGCACTGTCCCTCCATGTCCCCCTCCAGGGAACAATCCCACCTTGCAACATGACCAAAGTATATCAGATGAAGCTTCAGAATCCTTGCCTCCAAGGAACAACCTGGCTTCACCCTCTCCAGGATGAATCTGTTCATTTCCTTAGCAGTCCATGGTACATTCAATACTCTTCTCTGGCATCATAGCTCAAAGGCATCAATTCTATTTCCATCTTCCCTAGTCATTGTCCAACTTTCAGATGCATAGCAAGTGATTGCAATGACCGTGGTCTGTATCAGGCACACCTTAGTCTCCAGAGTTCTTCAATACTTTGGAGAGGTCGCTGAAAGCAGACTTTCCCATCGCAATACATTTTTTAATTTTCTGGCTGCTGGTGCCAAGAGTGTTGACTGTGGAGCCAAGCAAACTAAAGTTGTGAACAATCTCAATCTCTTCACTATCTATCCTGATGCTGCCAATTGGCCCAGTGTTGAGAATTCTTGTCTTCTTGATACTGATCCTCAATCTATACTGAAGGCTGCAGTCCTAGACCCCCTACAGCAAACACTTCAGGTCCTCCTCATTTTCAGCAAGCATGGTTGTGTCATCAGCATAACACAGATTGTTGATGGCTCTTCCACCAAACATGACACCACACTTCTCCTCACAGAGCCCAGCCTCCTGGATAATCTGCATTTAGGTTGAAAAGGTATGGAGACAGGACACATCCCTGGCATACACTCTTCCCAGTTTTGAATCATGCAGTGTTTCCTTGCTCTGTTCTGATGACAGCCTCCTGGTCATGTATATTTTTGCATTAGCACAATCAAGTGTTCTGGGGGTGGAAGAAGGTGGTGGGCATATAATGGATATAGGAAGTATGAATAAGGAAGAAATAAAAAATAAAATTGATCTCTGACCCATATCAAAGCAACTGAATACCACTGGCACCATAACTTAATTCTGGGTGACTGGATGAGATTGTTGGAACTGGGTGACTTAGTACATGTTGGTACCATCACTTAGATCTGTGTGACTTGGTGAAATTAATTGTGTGAACATTGCAAGGGTGTTGAGAATCATGATGGAGAGTTGGAAATGTTTCAAAATATCATATGAAAAAACTCTTATTACTGTTGTACCAGCAGTCAAGAAATCAAAAGATGAATTGCTTTGGGAAATTCTGCTGTGAGGAACCTTTCCAAAATGCTAAAGAGCAGTAATGTGTCTAGAGACTAAGGTATGACTGATCCAGGTCAGAATCTTCACAGATACTTGTTATGTGTCAAAGAGCTGGACAATGACTAAGGACAACAGAAGAAGAATTGATGACATTAAGTTGTGTTGCTGGAGAAGAGTATAGAACATAACATGGACAACCAGGAAAACAAATAGGTCTGTCTTAGAGAGGGTGAAAACCAAGACTCTCCTTGAAGATTGGGATTTTGAAGCTACATATCACATACTTTGAGCATGTGGCCTTCTGACCAGTCCTTGGAGAAGGACAGCATACTTACAAGGGTGGAGGGACAGTGCAGGAAAGGAAGACCCAGATGAAACAGTTTGACATGGTAACTGAAGCAGTGGGATTAGATATGTAAGAGTCAACAAAAATAACAACAATTACTGTTGGAACAAATTACCTCCAATTTTGTGGCTTGCAAATTATACAAATGTTTTCTTTTCTCTTACTAATTAGCATTCAAGTAAACATCTTAAGAATATATTTGAAAATATTTTTCTAATATTTTCAGGGAAAAGGAACATGTTCACACTGAAATATTATTGTTCTACTTGCCAAAGAAACATCTTGTAATAACACATACCAGAACTAACTTACCAACACACTAAAATAGTCCATAGCTGATATTTATTTTTTTTTCTTAGTCAGGGATTAATGTTATACGTTGTGTTGCTGGCATTGTCCTGAAAGAAAACTCTAAGGCAAACACTTGTGTGGAGATAATTTGTTTTGGCAGTGACCCCCAAAAGCAGGAGTCGACTAGGGAGATTGTGACACGGAAGGGAAAAATAAATCTAAGGCCCTCTATGGGAGTTTCATTTCAAAAAGCTTCATGAGCAGTATTTAGAATGCCTCCCAAAATTCTCTGACCAAGGCAGGAACATACATTCCATGGTTTCAGTTTGTTATTGGCTGAAGTTTATGCATTAACCCTATAGTTTCTTGCTGCATTTGCACAGAAGATAAGCTAGCTTTCAGGAAGACCTTCAGGAATGGACCCAGCGTAGAAACCCTTAGTGATGCACCTGGATAGAGATGTTACCTATTGGGGAATGCATTAGATTATTCACTATATAGGAAGATTCGGGATACTTTTCTTTGGTTGAAACAGTGGAAATGTTCACTCAATAAACAGCTCTGTTCCAACAAGTCTTCTTTCTTATTTTTTTTTTAATCTTAGCATTAAGAGCTTTTAGAAGACGTCTAGTCGCATGGCATGGTGTATTCTGAAAGTGCATATTCATCTGAAAGAAAGTAAAAGTAATTGTTACTGGAAATAATCTCATAATATTAAGAGGAACCAGAAACTAAAACCTCTAAGTCTGTGCTGTTTCAAATTCCTTTACTTTTACTTTTCAAATATATTTTATATTACTTTGACTTATAGCACTTTTCATGCACTCATAAGTAGTTATTCTCTGTATTTCAGGTCTGATATTTTGTATATAATGTATATTAAAATTCAGTAGAGGTTAGAACCATATTTTCATAAAAGCTTTAACAATAGTGAAAACTTCGTTTAATCAACCAAGTCTTCAACATAAGGTAAAGATGTACTTGCTAAATACTTAGGTACCCAAAGTTTGTAAACTAGTATTTAGCAGATAAATATTCATCTGCCTTTTTTGTAACCTGAATTGTTAATTCAGAATTGTTAATCTGCCTTGAAATAGTTAACTTGCCATTTTCATATTTTGTTATTGATCTTTATCTCGTTTTTAAAAATATATAATATATCTATTTTAAAAACCCAGATTGTCACAGTTGGGCAAATCTTGATTTTAAGTAAAAACATTCCATTTATAGCCCTGGTTCTCTGAGAACCTGGTTTGAGTTAGCAAACCTTAACGTTCCTTAATGCTTGGCTAAATCAACTATAAAAAACAGAGTAAAAAATTTATGAAACTAAAGCAAAACAGAAATTCCAAATTATGCGACAGAATAGCTTTACTTCTAAAAAATGTGTTTTATATTTAGAAGTCACCCTACTGAACAACATGTGGATGGATAGATTATCACTAATAGGTAAAAAAGGTGCCTAAAGGAGTCTTTTGAAGGATGGGAGTCAAAAAAGGTGACTCAGCTAAAAGCTAGCTAAAGTCCAGTCAAGTCTGTCATCCAAGAGGCTTTAGATAGAGATGGCAGCTTTGCTTCTTCCAGTCAGCTGATGTATCTACCAGCTGACTATGGGTGCAAAAGCAATATGAACAGAAATCAGCAGCGAGCCTTACTTATTCATATAATCGGGTGAAATAATAAATGGATGTAGTTTTTAAAACTCCTCATTAAAATATTTTTACTAAGATAACCCTATCACCTTTGAATATATGTAAATTTCTCCCTCTGTTCAAATGGATATATAGTTCCTGCACCACTGTGGGATTGCAGCTCAGCTTCTTGCCACTCAGCCACCAGTGCTCCATATAAAACAAAATCAGCAAATGTGTATGTTGACACAAAGTAGTACAAAAGTGGGGGCTGCATTTCTGACCAATGCAATTCATTGCCATCACTTGTCTGTCATTGGAGGTTTCTGTGCTGCTATGTGGCTGAACCTATTTCATGAATCTCTCATACTAAGAGAGACACGCAAGGAAGGGCTTGGCAATCTTCTTACAAAAGACCAGGCAGTGTAAACCCCATGAACCAACTACAGTGCAAGCACACTGTGCCTGAAGATGCCATGAATCTGTGCTGATACCATGACTAAAATTATTAACAGTGGTGTGGAGTGGAGGGTGCAGGAACTATATATCCATTTGAACAGAGGGAGAAATTTACATATATTCAAAGGTGATAGGGTTATCTTAGTAAAAATATTTTAATGAGGAGTTTTAAAAACTACACTGGTAACCTCAGGCAAAATGGGCTTGGATTGTAGTGGGTTCCCTGGGTTTACATTGGCTGGTCTTTTGTAATTAGATTGCCAGGCCCTTCCTTCCTTGTCTCTCTTAGTTTGAGAGCTTCACTGAAATCCGTTCAGCCACATAGCAGCACAGAAACCTCCAATGACGGACAAGTGATGGCAATGAGTTGCATTTGTCAGAAATGCAGCCCCCACTTTTGTACTACTTTGTGTCATCATACACATTTGCTGATTTTGTTTAATAGGGAGCACTGGTGGCTGAGTGGCAAGAAGCTGAGCTGCAATCCTACAGACGTGCAGTTTGGGTAAAATCTGGTATTTGGGGAGGAAGGAATTGTGCTGCCAACACAAAGGTACACAGTTTGAATCCACCAGCTACTCCATAGGAGAAAGATGATCTGTCTCCTGCCTCTGAAAATGGAGGATCAGCAATAGGTCAGTTCCGATTTGACATCATGACAACAAACAATAACTTCTAAGTCTCAAAATGGAAACTGCTCAGGCAGTGCTTCCCGAAGTCATGTAGTTTGAATCTACCAGATGCTCCACAGAGAAAAAGGATAGGTAATCTCTTCTCTGTGTAATTTAACATCTCTGAAAACCTACTATGGGTCACCTGTGAGTCTATTCTGACTTGATGGTACACAACAGCAAACTTTATTTTACTTAAATCTACAATTACTGTCTTACTTTAAATGAAGATTTTAGTGACAGGACTAGTTATAAGACATCACAGTCATGCTCTTATGAAACACACTCAATATCTGTCACAACTTTGAAAAAATTTGCTTTAGGCATTACTGAATGTCGTCAAATAAGAGAAACAATTATTATTACTTTTTTTCAAAACCAGCAGAGACAAAGAAAATTTTGTATATGTTAAATTTAACATGGAAGGTAATAGGGCACAAAAAGCTCTGGAAAGAACTCCGGTGGCTTGAGCTGAAAAGGAATTGCACTGCCAACCCAAAGAAAATTACATGGGCTTCTCAGCTGAAATATATGAGCAGTCTCCTCCTTCACAATTTATTGCCTCTGAAAACTCTGTAGGGTCAGCTGTGAGACACTTCCCATTTGTCAGGACACAACAACAAAACCAGCAGCCCTGGTCTATCAGGAGTTGCACTGTTAACCTAAATATGTCACCTCTCTAGGGGTTCAGATCCACCATGGACTATGTAGAAAAAAGATGGGCTGTCTCTTCTCATTCAGTTTACAACCTCTAAAAATTCCCTTGGAAGGTCAGCTATAAATCAGTTCGGTCTCTGTGGCAATAAGAGAAAATTAATTCAAATTCTTACCAGTTTCATAGTAATCATAGAGCTGAATGGATGCTGGCTTGATGTTTGAGACAATTACATCTTGTTCAATGGAGAATGAGAACTGAATATCCTTTCGTAAAGCCTGAGGAGTAGGAGTGGAGGAGTTGGGGGGGGGAGGGGCGGGGGGTGAGGAAGAAACTAGTTAGATAGATTAGAGTTTATTTCCTGAATTTGTCTTCATTTCAGATATTGAGAATTATTTTAACAATGTAGTTTTCTGTATTTGGGTCCTTAAAAAGAAATTTAAAAACTAAGAAAGAACACAACCCTGATTTTAAGTCTTAGAAATGCACATCTCAGTTGCCTGTGGAAGAAGCTCCCACACACATGCATTGAATAGCAGCAGTAAACTTACGTTCTCCAGAAAGAAAATTACATGGGAGGCTTTGGTGTCTACTCGTTGTACTTTTCCCTCAATCTGAAGCTAAAACGAAGGGGGAAAAAGAAACTGAAAATTAAAACATATCAACACAAATATCTGATTATTCAAAAAGATAAAAATAATTGTCTTGAATTTGATGGTCCCCTTCCATCTTTATAAACTCCTGTAATATTCTCCTAGAACCTCAGCAATAAATATTCATTTTTGAGATTAATTCATTCAACATTTCTTTTGAGAAATCTGTCTATACAATACAATACTATAATATAGTATATAATACTATATACTGTACAAGACAAACAATACTCATTTGTAAACTCTCAATAAATAAAGCACATAAAAGAATTAATAAATATCAACTCACCCACCTGCTTTATTTTTTGTAATTTTTTCCTTGACAATGTGAGGATATAAAAAAATTTGAGAATCTCAAGAGTATTGTACTACCAGATACATATAAAATTTAATTTCATTCTTAAAATTTCATTCTTTGAAAATAGAAAATGAGTGCGTTTTTCTTCAACTTTTAGCCAAGGAAGTATATAAGGCCAAACAGATTAAGATACATTCTAAGGTATTATAATGGATTTTTTTTTTACCTTCTTAAGAGATGACTTATCAGGCACAAAGCCTGAAAGCATCTTCACATCAATGATGACTATATTGGAAGTGTCTCGTCTTCCATAATAACTATAAATAAAAACACAAAATATAAACGTTAAATAACTTTTGGTCATTATTTAAGAAAAATACAAATATATATATATATACAGAAAAAGCTAGTTAGAGTACAAATTTGAATAGGATTTGGCATTTTGCCATATTCCTGAAGTTTAAAATTGAACAAATGAAGTCACTATAGTTAAAAACTGCATGAGAAAATTTAATACATGCTTTTCTTTTTTATTCCCCACCATATTTTCACAATACCTCAAAGTCTCAGATTTCAATGTAAAAAGTGAATCATCATTCAGTAATTTTTATTTGTAGTATTTTCTTAAA